GGAAACATATACTATTGTGTTCAGAACTTTCAACATCATGAGCTTCAGTGACAAGACGTGCCAGCCTTATCCACATACAGAGACGGGCCCAGATCACTAGAGTGATGCAGGAAACTAGCATGTCCACATCTTCAGATTTCTATCCAACACTGTCTGATCCAATTAGCTGTGTTCTTGCTGACTGTATTTCGGTTACTCATGGAAAACTGACACCCTGTCAGGAGTCTACTAGCACCCTAAGTGGAAATCTTCTCTGGCGACAGTCTGCTTTCTTGATGCTCTTTTACAAAATGGATTGATTTCTCTTGATGAAACTCTTGATGCCATCTAGAAATGGATCTAATTCTCAAGAAATTCAGGCAGGGATAATACAGTTTACCTTTCTCAAAGGGACTGATATGATGCAATAGTCTGTGTCACCTGATTGACTTCAGCTTTCCATTCGAATAAGGTGCACTTGTTGAGAGATTTTCACATCAAACTCTCACAACCCTTCAAGTCTTCTGGGGGATTACTGAAGTTAACTAGAGTAAGCACCAGACAGCACGTCTGTGGTACTGGCTCTATAGCACCGATTTGCAGTAAGTGATCTATTGGCTTCTGAAATGAGTTTGCTCTTCACTGAATTCAAGGATGTTGCTGGAGTGCTCAAATCTTTGTTTTAACTTTACCCAACAACTCTTCTGAATAACTTCTAGCACCCACCTGTCTCCTGTCATGCATTTCTACTCCTGCGACAGTTTTTCCCCAATTAGTTGGTTGTCTTGGGACAGGAGTGGGAGTCATGCTGCTGATCTAGAAGGAATGGTGGACTGGAGAAGTCAGCCCTGGACTCCCCCTCCTTTGCTTGAACAGTCCCGCCTGCCTCTGGACTAAGTCCTTTCTGTGGTACCTGTTTGAATTGAAGGAGCAAAAGTAAAACTTTACTGGCTGTTTCAAATTGTGTATATATATATTTTTTTTAAATAGCTGATGGGAGCCAATGTTTTTCCTCTGTATTTTCTAAAATGGTTTTGCCTGATGGTTCCCAATCACCTAACCAGCTGAGTACTTAGAGGTACTCATAATGTGTTAGACTTATGGGCAAGCTTTCTGAGACATAGGTGATCACCGGCTACTGTGTTTTCGGCCATAGATATCTGAAAACCTAAAAGAATCCATCGAGGCATCCACACTACAAAAGAAGCAGCAATTGTAATTTTCTTTTTAAATGGTTTAATACCTGATGACTACTCTGAAAAAATTCAAAATCAGCTGTCATTATGACTCTTTTGCTCCAAAACGTTTCTCAGCAGTAAGACATTCAAAATTACTGTGAACCCTATCTGTAACTAGAAATCTGGCATCTAGCATGCCTGTGCAATGAAGTTCAATTAACAGGAGCTTTGAAAGCCACAAAGTCTATTTAGACGGGCCCAAATTATTGGACAGGGATTATCACCTGAACTTACAAATTGCTTAGTTGACCTTCATTACAAAGCACTGGTTGCATGGGGAAAGTGAATTGAAGTTAGCATTCACTGAAGCAAGGGGGGGAAAAGTGATAACAAAAGCAATCACTAAAGCATCATAGACTCATAGACTTTAAGGTCAGAAAGGACCATTATGATCATCTAGTCTGACCTCCTGCACAACGCAGGCCACAGAATCTCACCCACCCACTCCTGTAACAAATCCCTAACCTATGCCTGAGTTATTGAAGTCCTCAAACACTGGTTTAAAGACCTCAAGGTGCAGAGAATCCTCCAGCAAGTGACCCGTGCCCCACGCTGCAGAGGAAGGCGAAAAACCTCCAGGGCCTCTGCCAATCTGCCCTGGAGGAAAATTCCTTCCCAACCCCAAATATGGCGATCAGTTAAACCCTGAGCATGTGGGCAAGACTCACCAGCCAGCACCCAGGAAAGAATTCTCTGTAGTAACTCAGATCCCACCCCATCTAACATTCCATCACAGACCATTGTTAGATGGGGTATCATTCCATTTCAAATGCTGCTATGGAAACACAAATTTTATACTGTACACATTTCACCTATTATGACCACACACCATAAATAAATATCCTCTGTGCAACTGGAAACAGTAAGTCAGGGTTGATTTTCTTGGGATACTGCCCCTGGAAGTGTGCAAGATACAACGCCCAACAAAAGGTTAAAAATATGATCAATAAGACTACTGAGCTTTCCCTTCCCATGTCACTCAAGAGTTTTATTTTTGGTATATACAAGACAAGGTGTGAAGGATAGCTCAGTGGTTTGAGCATTGGCCTGCTCAACCCAGGTTTGTGAGTTCGATCCTTGAGGGGGCCATTTAGGGATTGGGGCAAAAATCTGTCTAGGGATTGGTCCTGCTTTGAGTAGGGGGTTGGACTAGATGACCTCCTGAGGTCCCTTCCAAACCCTGATATTCTATGATTCTATGACATAATTCCTAGAGACCCTTATTTTGAACTGTACACACCAATCAGCCAAATGTGTTGGCCAACAGGTGGATACAGAAAATAATCCTATCAACTGCTGATTAGTGATGAAGTTATGGTACATACACAGTATGAAGCACATGCATCACTTCATGATTAATGACTACCCAAACTATACAATGTACCACTATGATCTTTCATGCGCATAACTTTATGATTAACAAATATTCAAAGTAGATAATGTAACAATATGGTCTCATTTTCATGAATGTTCTGAAACATGATTCAAGAACAGTTAAGCTAAAATCTCAACTTCTTACAACATTTACTAACAAAATCTCTTATCCCAAGTGCTCACCTTCCCTCAGTATATTCTGTCATGTTCTGTCCTGCTTCAGATGATGAGAGTCCCTTTTTAGATTAATTTTGTTACAGTACCTGATTTATGTTGGGGGCTTCCCGTTTTTTAGGCCTAAAACACTGACTTATTCATCTTTCACGATACACAGAACAGTAATGATGGTGCTAGTTTAAAATTGGGCATATTATACGTTTTCTTTTTTGTATCCTCTTTAATGTCCCCTAAGCAACAACATTTGAATATTAGAAAGTTTTTAATCACACTTAGGAGCAGCTAGGACTGTTGACGTATTGTTTGAACATACCAGGATTCCTTTCTGACAAAGCATGTACAGGGTAGCGTAGATTTCATAACTGATGCCTCTGTGTAGGAAGACTTCAACTTATCTGTGGGATATGCGCCAAAGATGTTGCCCTTTGCGGGTTTATTTGTTACTTCAGTAAAACAGCCATGTCTGGAAAATCTCCATGAAATCGGCTTTTTTGCATTACTTTTCTGTTGGGCTTATTTGCATTTCCTAAATTATATTATACAATTTCCTCCAGAGCAGAATGAAACTATACAGCATAGGACCTTCTTAAAAGTTCCAGGGAGGAGGGGAATCTTTTCTGCATTTTTAAATCAGGATTATCCTCTTCAGTTCCTAATTTATCTTCCCACATATTAAGTCCTCTTACAAACCGTTTTAAGCATTGCCTCAAAATATTAGGCAAATTCTGAGTTTCCTTCCACTTTCTCCTGTGTACTGCAGGCAGACTGCTACTCCTTCCCTCTCTGGAACAAGGGACTGCTGATGAAAAACTAATACCTATTTTTATTCTTTTTGATTTCCTAATCTTCCTTTTGGAGGATTTGTGCAGAAAACTACTTTTAGATTTGTTTATTTGTTTTTGTCAAGCAATTATTTTGGTTGTGTTCTGTACCTCCTCCATATTAAGGAATAAAATTGGTCCCTTGACTCTTTATAAGAATGTAGGAATTGTCATATTGAATCATGCCTATTGTCCATATTTACTAGATCCCAAGGCCAGAGGGGGTGGGTAGGGCCAGACTCAGCAGCCATCTCCCCCATTTTTGGGAGAATAGGGTTGACCTGCTGGCCCAGGGACTAAGTTGCCAACCAGCTCGCCCCATTGCATGCCAGGGTTGATCTTCGGGCCAGATTTTTTCACCCCAAACGTACCCCAAGGGGTATCACGCTCCCTGGAAGGAAAAGCCAGAGAGGAAGGCCCTCTTTGGCTGCTGTAAAGTGGGGGACAAGCACCTGACATATCAGATGCTTATTCCTAGTCTCAAAACAGAAGCAGAAATCTCTCTATAAACGATAGGTAAGTATGATACACTTGAAAATAAGCATTGAAAATAAACCTCATTTACCAACAAACTACAGTGATACATTCTGAATCAGCGTATACGGTATCTTAATCCATAATTGGCTCCATCAATGGCCTATTACAAAAAATCATGACAACCCCAAGTACAGAGAGGTTTTTTCCCCCCACTTAATCTTTTAGGAATTGAATGTCTTTGAATGGTGCTAGATTGGCAGTATTAGAAATAGACCCTCTCTGTTTAACGCAAACCTTGTATTACATGAGCATCAAGTTTCCTTACACTGCCTTGCCGGTTTGACTCAACCATTACCTGAAAGGATTAACTCCAGCAGAAGAAATAATAATAAATTACCCATGTCTGTTCAACATGGAACTCCCCACTGACACTACTAAAAAGGATGGCAATATGGTGAGTTATTAAAACTTTTTGACAGTTATAGCAGCCTCAAGATTTATCACTACAACATATTGTAATTTATGACATAGTATGTATTTAGTACTTTTCATAAATTGTCCTCAACTAATAAGCTATTTTGCATTATTACTCAAATTGAAACCAAAATTTTCAATAGAGGTGTAAAAAGTATTGTTCTTAAGTTTAGCCATCTTATTTCTCAATAAAGTTGAAACTTTGTACACAAACTCTTTGACCAGGTACTTCTTTTGCCTTAAATGAGCTGTACTTTTCACATGTTTTTCTCCATTTTCAAATAACTGTTAGTTATGCTTTAGGTGAAAACACAAACTAAGTTTAGCAGGCTGAGTCCTTACTGGATACTGGTCAACTTTTAAGATGAAAACATACTTACATTTAGATAATTGGGCACATTTTCAAATGATCTATTCTGCATGCAAAAAACCCACAAACCATTAAACAATTTGTTCTTACATCTTTTGAAGCACCTGGGCCATCACAACCCCATTCGTTAAATCTTCCACAGTCTGGCATGGTGCTTCAACATTAAATGTCTGGATCTGAAGGGGGGAAAAAAAAACATTTTCTTATTAGCCTGCCTTAACTATCTCTTACTAACACATCAAAGAGTTTTCAAAAGTAACACAACAGTATTGTTACTACCAAACAGCAGCAAATGGCAGAGAGAAAAACAAAAACAAAACACAAAGGTGCACAAGTTTAATTCTATCAGGGGAGAAATACTGCAAGTGCTAGATTTCATTTAGTGAACCACAACACTGAGGTTTGTCTTGTTGTAGAGCCATGGACACAGCTTCACAGATATGGTTGCAACCAAATTTCTATTACAAGCTCTGACCAGGATATTCAAAACATGAGTTACCAGAGTTACATTCCTAAGGGAGGGATATTCAAAAGCATCTAATAACTCAGGAACACAAATCCCACTGAATGTTAGTGGAACTTGTGCTTTTAAATCACTCAAGCACCATCCTAAATCCCTATTTAGGCACATACATAAGACCCCTGATTATTAAAAATGCTGATCACCTAGACCGTCCACGTCCCATGGTTATATAATTATATACACACACACGCGTGCACTCTGAACAATTAACTCCTCCCTAGTGTGCGATGAGAGTGAAATCATGCTAGTACTAGCTGGTTTGTACTGGCCAGTGTTAGTTTGCTATTAGTTGTAAGGTGTTCAATTACTACAATAGATGTGGCAAAAAAAAAAAACTAGACAGAGAAAAGTCTCTGGTATAAATATAGAGGTTAAGATGCAAGATGCTGGTATCTGACTTAGAACTGAAGGATGGAATGTGGCTGATTCCATAGTGCCATATGTGGGGGTGAGTGGTGGTTTCCAGTCCATAACAGAAATATACCCCTGAGGTAGGGTGGATGGGTGACAGTCATTTTGGTCAACATGCTGTGCCTAGAGACACATACTGGGGTAGGGTTTCATTTTTGAATTTGCAATATAATAATATACATTTGAATATTTGTGTAAGAGATTGCAAGAACTTCAGGATCAAAGGAGACTTCCCTGGAACTAGGTGCTGAGCTTGCCCCTGACACAGCAGTACCAGACGATGAGAGACCTCCTTCACTATGAAAAAGTGAGCAGCCATAACACCGCAGAAGTTGACTAACCTAGTTTTCTACTGTCCAGATGGAAACCCAGTTGGGAAGTCCATTGTGAATGCTGTTGTGCTGGGGGTTTGCATTGTAACAAATACTGTGTGTGTTACAGGGACAAGTAATCAAGACTGCTAACATGCCAGAGACCAAATAATTTAAGTGGCTGGGCTCCCCAAACTGACAGAGCCATTAATGGAATCCGCATGCCCATTCCATGTCTGAGCACAAGCAGCCGAGAAATACATAACAGGAAGGAAACTGTTTCCATGACGATGCAGTCCATAGTGTATCTCCCTGGGAAGCCCTGGGCATGGTCATACAGTAGCCTGGAAAAGTGCGTGAAGCCAGGACTTGAAACAAACCACACATGCCCACCACCAAACTCTGGACTTCTCAAAAACAGGAAAAGTGAAAAACTATTCCCACTGAACAATATTGACATTATGGGTATTTCCATCCCCACTGTGCTCCCAGGTGATCCTGTCTACCCAGTACTGCCGTGGCTCATTAAAACTTCCCCAACTACATAAACAAAGGTAGAAGATTCCACTACACACTGAGCCAATGCAGGATGGTGGTGAAGTGTGCTTCTGGGATACTGAAAGCAAGACGTCAATTGTCTGTTGACTGTTCCATGACTAATATTACCATGATCATATCTGCTTGTTGCATTTTACATAGCATAAGCGAAAACAAAGGAGAGGTGATCAGTAAAGACTAGAGTGGCTCAGACAGCCTGCCCTCTACTTTTTCACAGCTAGAAAATCATGTAGATGCAGCTGAAGGATGACACTACTACTTCTGGTGAGCATGCGCTACAGATCTGAAACAGAGGGCACCAAGGACTAATGCTTTGTTTCTTTTTATGACTACTTGAAAATACCTTTTTTTATACAGTGAAGAATGAAGGACTAGATAGCACAACACTGTTGTTAACCTAGCACTTTTATGCTATGTACATTTTTTATTGATTCGTTATAATGGAGACAGTAGCACCTTATATTAAGTATCAACAACATTAAAAAACAATGCCTTTTTTCCAAAAACAAAACTGTGTTTTAATAAGGGAGACCAGCTGCAGAAACAATCTTCTTTCCCTGTGTCAAAAATAGGGGTTGAATGTCTGGAGAATGGCTGGGAGAGAGCCAAAGAGGTAGGTCCCAATCCAAAAAGTTGTATTCTCTGCTTTCAGGAGGGCATGGTATCGGGCAGCACATGGCAGTGCAGGAGAAGATTCTAGTTGTGGGGACAGAGCAGCAGGCAGTTTCTTGTGTGTCTTTAACCGTCATTAGATAATGGCTGCTGAAACTCTGCCTCCCTGTGCATTCTGCTGTCTATATTTTTGCATGAGCTCTGTCCTCCTGCTGGAACTGTTCCTGCCTTCCTGGTGTGTTCAGGGCTGCCTCGTCTTTCACTCCTCGAAGTGGTAAATTCATACTAATTTTCTGTTCACATTCCTTTGCGCTTTGATGAATTGGTCCTTTCAACTTTTCAACTGTGCCACCAACATGGAGTCTGGACAATATGCACAGCTGGACAGCAAGCCCTGACAGAGAAAACAAGATATGATCGAATTAACACCCACCGCAATCCCTCACACGTCCCATGAAATGTCAACAAATGAGACAAAAGAAACTTCCTCTTCTCTTTTTTAAATTCCAATAACTAATCCAGAGCCATTCAACACAGAATGTTAAGGACATATGTTCCCAATTCTCACACAACACTTAATACTATGGAGAGGTGTGGTACTATTTTAGATCAGGGGAAGGGAGATATGTAGTACATAATGTCAAAATGGTATAAAAAAGTTACTTATTACAGAAAAGTAGGATCTTGGAAAATGAGGGTTTTTGTTTTTTTGCAGATGATATCCAATGAGAAGCTCCATGATTGGTGAGGCTTGGTTAGCTACCTTGGAGATATGCATTAAAAAAAAATCTTTATATTAACTTTGGAGAAGTTGTCATACAAACAGTTCATTAGAAAGACAAATGCTAATGTGATTGCAGATAGCCAAGTTGTGCATGCCGTATAGAAATGGCTGGGTGCCATATGGGCCAGGCAATACAATGTAAGGTAAATGCTTTGGCAAGCGTCCGCTAATTAACTTATTACAGCAACTTACAGGTCCAGCTGTTTTTATTTTTCCATTGGTGTTTCATGTGACATTTAAAAAAAAATCCCCATTTTTGTATGTGGCTACATGGTATAGCACAGCCAGCTGCCGTAAGTGCCAAGTCAAGCACTTCCTCTCACCATAATTGGCAGGTCATGAAGCTGAAAAGGGTACCACAAGTGAGAGGAATGGAAGGGTGGCTCCAAGAAAGACCAGTTATGGGGGAATAACTGTTTTGAGTGGGCTGCTGTGGGGCTGTTACTTGTACTATGGCAGAGAGGATGAAGGGGGGAGTGGTTGAGGGAGTGGGGACTGGAAGAGCAGGGAGAAGGTGAGGTGGACACTTCCATCTTCACATAAGACTATATCTGCCCATTCACAAATATTAAGGATGCATTCATAAGAAGCCAGAAAAATTTCTCTCAGCCCCAGAATCTGAAAAAAAATCAGTCCCCATCAGTACTTTATACAATAGTAAGCTGCATACCTGATAAAGTTTTGCTCATCTCCAGATTCCACTTCCTCATGCGGAACCAGCTCAGTCATCTCAGGATCTAGGCCTCCATCCTACAAATGGATCTTGTGATCTGGGCAACTCCTGGTCAGGCTCCCTCACCCTCGTTCCTCCTATTTGGTAATGGTGTTCTCGTCTCCCCTGAATAATCATGCTACAAAGTATTTTTTCATTATGTTTGGGAGCATCTCAGGCTGAGCAGAGGAATGAGTCTTCAGGCTCCTCGCCAGACCGTTGTATAAATGAAAAATTCTATGCCAGGACTTGAGTCTTCTGATGTCATCATTAACTTTAGGCTGTACTTTAGGTTTTTGATTTTATCCCAGCATGGCTTATAAGCCCAGGTTATACCAAGCATGCAGATGACTGGTTCTATGTATGTAAGAGCATTTAACACCACTGGCCAGCTGCTTCTGGATTTTCTCATCCCATAAGATGATTTGGGCCCAAATATCTGAGCCAGGCAGTAACACAGTCAATAAAGGTTCTCCTTTAAGACATCCTGGTAACACTTGCAATGTTCACAATCAAAGAAGCTTGCAATTGTGAAAGAAGTTGTTTGCAATGCAAGCTGTCTGTACTGAGCTCTATGGTTTGTGTCATGCTATTATACAGGTAGATGGCTTCTAGTCAAGCAGACTCCTGTGCAGTAGGGTGCACAAAGTAGACCAGACAAACAACCTCAGTACTGACTGGAGCACGGCGGGACTTGGGTGGAAGGACAATATGAACTAGTTTACTACTACTCTGGCTCCATACTGCCACTAAATTGCTGCAGCTTGAACCAATATGTAGATCTGCAGAACACAAGTCCAATCCAAATGATATTTGGAATACATTTAACTGTATGGAGAATGTGTATGTAAGATGCTTGACAAGTGTGCTGGGAGACCACAAATGTTTCTTAGAATAGTATATTTCTCTAGTGCAGACAAGGCCCTTAAAGAGACAGAAAACCAAAACAACATGCAAGCAGAGTGATCAAGGCATGCATCTTATTAGTTCAACTTTTCTCCTTTTTAATAATTAGCTTATAAATGTCCAATGCCTGTTCTAATATTCCAATTCTAAACTTTTCCCTATTATATTATTTGCCTTTGCCTACTCCTTTTTGTTTTTTGACCATTCTCTATTTATTATTTTTCATAAAGTTTCAATTAATTCTTCTGGAGTGTTGCCTGTGCATATTCACATGCAGCCACACATCAACCCCCTTCTCCAAGTGCCAGCGAGCTTCAGGATCTTTCTAGAAAAGGAGTGCCTATTAGGACCATGTAAGT